TAATTTTTGTATTTTTAAAAACTTTTATATTTATATAGAAATAAAATATCTTATTTATTGGTTAATATATATATATACTATAAAAATAGAAATACTTAGAATAATACTTATAGAATATTTATAAAAAATACATATAATTATAAATTTATCTAAATTTAACTATATAATTAAGAAAAATTTTGTTAATAATATTTATATTATGTTTAAGAAATAAATTTTTTTCAAATAAAATTTTATTTAGCTGTGTTCTTTACTAATTATAATATTTCTGCTATCAGAAAATAAATATTCACTAGCAGTAGAAGTAGCAAGAATTAAAAGATATTTTTGAGCTTAATTAGAAAGAATTCAAAATTTTGTTTTTTTATTATCCTACCAAGTAAAAGGATTAGCATTATAGCTTATTTCCTTTATTTTTAAATATAAATTTACTTTATTATATTCTAATTGCTCTTGATTACTGAATATAAAATTAAGTAATTTATTATTTATATTAGTATTAGTGGATTTATAATAAGAATTAGTTTGATTTGTATATTTTTGAATTAAATCTTGTATAGCTTTAATTGTTTGCTCTCATTTTTATTCTAAAAATTTATCTATTTTTTATATCATAGATCCAAAAATATTGCAATTAAAGAACTTTCTAAAGATACTTTCCAATAATATTATAATGCTTTATATAATATATTTTTACTTTATATACTAGTCTCTTAGTTTTAATAGATTTTTTATATTTATTTCTTTAGTATCTTTAGTAATTTTAATCTTATTAATATAATCATAATCTACAATAATTTCTTCTTCGCCAAATATTGTAGTAATATAATCAAAATTTATATTATCAGATTCAGATTCAATTTGATAATTCTCATAATCATTTGCTTTAGTTTATAATTTTGTAATAATATTTTAATTGCTGATAATATAAATCTTATAGTAGAATAGGTATTGCCTGCTAATAAATTTGTTAATTGTTCTAATGTTTGCTATTTATTTTTAGTTAACATAATTGCATGAAGTTACTTAACATCTTTTTGGGTATTATAATCAGATTCAGCTTCTATTGTTGCTAATATTATGTCTAGTACTTTTTGAAGTTGTAACAATTATTTTTAAGATATATATAATAAATTCTATCTAATAAAAATATTTGTAATTGCTGAATATATATTTTTTTTGCTTATTAATTTTATTCTCAGATATTCAAAGTACTTTTTGAGCTTCTATTAAATATTTAATTTGTTTTAGTGATAATAAAAAATTAATTTACTTTTTAGTTCAAATAACTAGCATTTTAGTAGGCTTAAGTTCTTTTTCAAATGCTAATTGGAGTATATGGGCAGCAGAGAGAATTCTGTCTATATTTTTTATAAGTTTAATAACCTTAATCATATTTATATCATTATTACTTGTTATATAATCAACTTTATTATTTAACTCTAATCATTAATAACTTTTTCTAAAACAATTGCAATTGTTTTAGAATTATGAGAATAAAAAACATAACACATAGCTAAAGTAGTGTTCTGAAGTTCAGTTCAGTTCAATTTAGATTCAGGTTCAAGTTCAATTGAACCTGAACTGAACTTTAAATTT